ATATAACAACTTTTATGGTCAAATAACCAAAAATCCGAAAAGAAACTAAATCCTTGCGAAGAATTCAGGCAGGATAGGCACTGGCAAACTGAGGCGTGATCACCGTGCCACCATGCGCTAGGTCGGCCGTACGCGTATCAACAAACTCGTATTCTGAGGTAAAGTTTGTATCCCGATTCAAATCGGGCTCGTAACTTGAAAAGTTCGTAAACCAAGGTACCACTGTACTCTTTTGAATATAGTAATTAAATTCAACGTATTTTGTCTATACAGTATGGGGATCATATTAACGTGATGTATCAATGAGAATTAGTAGAAGCCTATGCTTCTATTTTTTTAGTTACTTACATATTGAATGTGACTGTACACAAGGCATTAAGATGGCATCAAGTGTGAAGACATGGTCAATGGAAAGGAAATCACACTAGGTAACACGTGAGACTAATCAGGATAATGAGAGGGGGTAGTGTAGTCAGAGCCCAGTTCAGCAGGGGCTGCAGGGCCATTAGGAAGGGAGCAGCTCTGCCAGAGGAGCATAACACACTACATGAGTGGATTGTGAGGATTTATGCAATACAGAAAAAAGTGGCTGGCTATCAAAGCCATGGATACTACCTACTAGGACAGAGGTTGACAAACACAAAACAGAGTACATACCTCAATCCAGCAGAGCTCCCCATTTTTAACAGGGCAGGGTAATGAAACCACATTCACTAACTTCTCTAAACAACCCATTCCATCCAAACAGGTCAACCCCTCTGGTGCATGGTCTGATGGGATGCTTAGTACATTGGGCACCCTTAGTTGCTAGCAAAACTCTAATATCATATGGGAGTCGGTCGGTCGAGCAGACAGCACACTGGACTTGTGATCCTGTGGTCCTGGGTTTGATCCCGGGCGCCGGCGAGAAACAATGGGTAGAGTTTCTTTCACCCTATGCCCCTGTTACCTAGCAGTAAAATAGGTACCTGGGTGTTAGTCAGCTGTCACGGGCTGCTTCCTGGGGGTGGAGGCCTGGTCGAGGACTGGGCCGCGGGGACACTAAAGCCCCGAAATCATCTCAAGATAACCTCAAGATAGCTGCTATATATAATATAATCAATGCTGAATTTCAAATTACCTCAAAACAAGAAGAGTTAGAAGATGCTAGGGCAGTGAGAGTTAATAACAATCAATTAGTGGTACAGTATATACAATGTAACTCTTGAAACACAAAATTGCATAAACTACTGCAATAAAAATACTTGTTTTGGTATAGGTGGCAAAATATCTTATTAGCAAAAATAATGAAGCCAACTCCAGCAGCAGATTTTTACCTGATTATAAATAAAACGTGTGTGAATGGAGAAGATATTTTCACGGTAATGTTATTTCTGGACAGTGCAGAATATAAGCCTTTATTCTACAGATGAAAGCTTCACAAAATTTAACAACTGGGACTTTCAACCGGTCAAAAAACAAAAAAAAAGATTCATAATATTCTTTATGTATGCATATTCAACACTAATACATTTACAGGGAATTATAAATATGAACACAAACTGGACAGTTCAGTTTACTGCTCACACTGACTAGCAAAACTTAAGAATACATTTAACCTGCATTCACCATTCAAACACTTGACAGCCTACCCACAAACACCAATCCATTAACAAATGTGCGAGTATATTATGCCACTCTGAATGATTTTGAAAATATTTATGATCATTTATAATGTGGACATCTCATTGCTTAGTTTCTTATCTCAAGATTACTCAAACTGGACTTTAAAAGAGATTTGGAACCAGAAAATATGTGCACCTCACTGCTAAGGATCCTGTACATAGCAAATATACTTCCAGGAAATCTAAAATATTTAAGTTATTTGTATATTAAACAAATTCTTAATTACTGCTATGTATGTAGTGTACAAAATATAATTAAATTCCCTTATCAATATCAAATAATATTTAATTTGATAAATAACATTTTCATTTCCTTATTTTCACAGACTGAGACATACAAATGTATTTCTATGACAAAAACTCCACTGGTTTGTATACATATCAGAAGCAATTTCAATGTTATGTGCCAAGATTCAGTTACTTCAGTGGCTATAATTATACTGTATACTAAAACACTTACAATCTGTATTAGGATTTTGAATAGCATGTTTGGTAAAAGTTTACATATTCTAGAGTACAAACACTGTTGTGTACAAGGAATGACAAAGATATAAACCACACAGGAGTCAAATCAGAAAAATACAGTACTCATTTTATGTATCCTCACAGCTAACAGAACAGGCCATTTTAGTAAGAACACGAGGAACACATTTTCATTGATACTGTATTTTAAAGCTAAAGTTAATTTCCAGGAAATTTCCAGGTGTTATGACCCAGACAACATTGTAGTACTAAGTAATTATCAAAAGAAGGCACCAAGCCAGAAAGACTATGTAGCACCTTCTTTATCGTGGGATATTCAAAAGGTGTTAAATATCACTCAGGATATCAATATGAGAACAAAAGGACATCAGGCAAGAGATAATAAAGGCATCAGATTCACCTAAGGATTCTGTCAAGGGACAATTGTCCCAGAGATACATTAGGAAGACGGCATTAAAAATAGTTTAATTATGCTAATATACACTGCTGTAAAATTTATTTATAGAATATAGTGCTCCCCTGAAAATTGAATGATATAATTCCAGACCCGATCCAGATTTGTGTAAACTCTGGATTTCGTAATGTTTTCCCTTTTTTGACTATTTATCACCAAACTTGCCTGATTTTTCTTACAGCAAACAATATAAAACATGTTGCAGCATATTTGGACAAATAACATACAATTTTGGCCATACTGTATAAATAAAAAAAATTAAACATTTTGTTCACACATTTTTGTAGGACAAACTGGTCTTGATAATCTAATGACCATAGGTGTCCTACAATGCTGTGTAAACCAGCATTGTAACCTGGTAAACAGCATCATCCAAATTCTCATACCTAGAATATTTTAATGTTTTTATGGTTCACCTTATGGTTTCACTTGTTCCATCACTACTCACCCTTTTTACTAAGATTCCATGATCTGCCTTCCCCAATTTTTTTTTTTTTTATGTCCGACACCAGATAATGCCAATACCATACTCCTGCCTCCCCAGCCATGGTCACATTTCTCTGCTAGGTCTCCTTATCCATGGTAAGGAGGTTGGCCTTTACATTGCAGGAGGTACTCATGCTACTCTAGTGGGACAACATGGTTTCAATGTGCAAATAATGGTACAGTATTTCAGAAGCCAGTAAAAATGCTTGTGAAAACAGAGGTTAGACCACAATCTCATGCAATGAAAAACAAATGGTCAGTATACATGCCCTCACAGTAGGTCTGGATGCCTTGGACAAATGCTACAAACTTGTACATATGATTTATAATGCAAGTATACTAAAGTTACTCCCTCCAGAACTCAATTTGTTCTTTTTAACCCTTTAACTGCGCAACGCGCCTGCAGGCCCAGACTTCGGGTGCGCAACGCGCCTCCGGGTGTTTTTATTTTTCACTTTCCTTTCAAAACTCCCGTGGCAATGTGGGGTTCACATCAACTTCCTCAGGGCTCTTGTAAATAGATGCTATCTTTAAAAAAAATCATGGTCAACATTGCCTGGTGTCAGAGCCTCAGTAGTGAGTGAGCAACCAAGGCTGGCGCTCGCAGCATGAGCGCACAGCACTGCTGTTCAGCGTGTGACAACAGCATCGCCTAATATTGTCAAAATATATATATAATCTGTTTTATTTAGCCATGATAGTATTATAGAAGAGCCTGAGTGTGATAATGACTGGGTACAATGTTCAAATATAAGTGATTCAATGCTGTTCACGATGTTCATAGTGCTAACCACAGCACCACAGCATTATTTCGTCCATCTAGGAATCTTCAAACAACTTTTTAGGTTCCTTTTCAAAATAAACTTGTGGTCAATTATTCATTTACAGGTATTAGTGACCAGGATTGTGGTTAAAATTAGCGTTGTGAGTAGGAAGGAGGAATTTTGGTGAAGGAAGGAGGAAGGGAGAGAATTGAGGTAGCCTCACTGTGTGGCAGTAACTCTTATTTTGCTCACCATACTAGCTTAGTGGTTCGCTATGGGCAACACATATGTACATGTGTATATACAGTGTGTGTATATACAGTAGTGTAATAACAGCACCAGGAGTATGTTGTGAGGAGCTATTTTGGTGAGGGAGGTGACGTCGTAATCGTGGCGTCGTCTGCTGTCTGCTGTGTGATTTGTCATGCAGTGTATGGTGGCCACTGTACTGTTTGGACACAATACCGGCTTACTTGCATAGTTCTGGTAAATAAAACATGTAGATAGGTATATACAACATGTGTAATTAGTGTAATAAGAACAATAACAGAATGGTGGGAGGAGCAATGTTGGCGAGTAAGATGTTGGAGTGAGGGAGGGCTGGCTGGGTGTGGCTGCTCACACTCACGGTGTTCTGAGTGTGCTTATGGTGAATGTATATAGTGTGTGACAGTGTATAGTCTGTAAATAGATTGTATATATACATAAATTAGCATGATACATGGTAAGTATTTGCAACATATGTGTACACAAGTGTCATGTACGTAACACAGTGTCTTCAGACAGTACGGATGTTTTACTGCCATAATGTAGTGTACGTGTTCATTATACATAGGATTAGCACGTAAAAACAAATAAAATGTATTTGGAACTGTGCGCAAAAAAATTAACAAAATTATGTTCACAGCGCCCCGGGCGCCCCACCGGCCCCGGGAGCATACTGCTCTGGCGCACGGGGAATGATGACGTCACGCCCCACGTTTCGAATCCCATAGCAGTCAAAGTAAGTACAATTTCGAACTTCCATTGCTATACCCATATACAGGGAGGGGCTTTTGACACTTTCAGAAGAAAAAAGAATTTTTTCCCGAGGTTTCATTTCTTGCGCACTGGGGGGGTGTCATATTTATAGGCCGCGCAGTTAAAGGGTTAAAAATTTAAGTTTTGTTGGAGCAGTCCAGTGGCCAGATCTGATCTGTTGTTCAGAAAAATTTATTCTATACAGATCCAGATTTTTTAGGAAACACTGTACTAAAATTGTTATCACTCTATATAAGACACTAAAAGAGAATTTAAAGAACACTCCATACAGACCTGTGACTCTGTGATATGAAACAGAGCTTAAGTATGTTAGAGCCAAAGAAGTAACATAATAGAAATATAACATTTTTATAGCAACTTCAAAAATACATAAAACCAAATAAAAATCCAGCACACAAAAAATAAGTGTTGTATTGAACAGTCACTGAATTTTGAATCTCATTGTTATACTACAGAACACTATACAGTACTTGCAGTCCCCGTGGCGTAGTGGTTAAGACACTTGTCTGGCGTTTCGCAAGCGCTTTGTCCTGGATTCGTATCCTGGCCGGGGAGGATTTACTGGGCGTATTTACGTATCTACACTCAATCCTTAACTGTAGCCTCTGTTTGCCCAACAGTAAAATGGGTACCTGGTTGTTAAACAATTTGGCGGGTCATATTCCGGGGAGTATTAGGACTAAGGACCTTCCCGAAATGCTACACATGCTAGTGGATGTATAAGAATGTAAGAACTCTTGTATATATATAAATACTGACTTCATTTATAGTACTATAAGAACTTAAATTACTCTATTTAATAACACTGTCAAAATTTATGGCCGTTGGGATCCACAAAATACAGGTTTGTAAAAGTGTTGTATGTATGAACTTTAACATAAGTACCAACTGCATACATTGACCTTTTTATATTTTGAATGTGAAACTATAGAAGCTTTTCATGTACAGTGGTACTGTATTTAATTTTTTCCCAATACAGTAGAAGGATGAGGAAGGAAAGAGGCCGAAGGGAAGCAAAGGAGATGGGGAAAGCGCCACATGGTGAAAAGTTACAGTAAACATAAAATGACTAATAGTTATTGTCTAATGATACTACAGTACATAAAGAAACTTCCCTTACCTTGCCTTGCTTATGAAACTGCCTGTATACAGTATTCAAGGATTGACTTGGCATCATTCACACTCACCAATGGATTGTAGCTTTTCCAGATACCAGTACTGTACCGGTTATAAAAAGTAATTACCAATGAAAATAACTTAAGTTCTTTCTCATATTACAGCTAAATACCAAAATAACATCCTTAAGTGGAGGTGCTGGAAATGTCAGTGAAAATGCCTGCAAGACCATTGTTTCTTAAAATATTAATTAGATCACATTTTCCTATTAAATCTTGTTTTTTGTTATATTTTTGGCCACTATTAAGTTGAAGTGAGAGTTCATTCACTGTTAAGGAATTCATAACAATACATTTTACAAATATTTAGAGGCTGGAAAATAATGGTGAAAATTCCTTACAGTCTCCTGATAGATATTTGTCATATGAAAAGCTGAAATTATTTCACTCTGTGAAATTTGACCACCAAGAGTGGGGAAAAGGGAGAGTATGGATGGTACAGGCAGAACTAGCTCCTTTATATTGGATGAAATGCATTTTTAAAGCTGTTGCTAAATGGGCAACACATTATAAGTTAAGTGCTATAGGGAATTCATTTAGCATATTGTAATTAAACCTAAATTCAGTAGTTTTTCATTTAGAAGAGATGTTCCTTAATAAGTGAAGGAGCTATCTTTGAAGAGCATATGGCCAATATTTTCCTATAGACAGTATGGCATTTATTTTTGCTTATGTAATTACATTACAACATGTTATTTATGTGTTAAAATAACATGAAATTCATGGTGTATGGCTTCCAATCAAAAATTATAAATAAAATAATTTAGTGAAATATGCTAAATTACAAAATTCAGGAAGGGGACCTAAATAATACAATCCAGATTTCAATGTCACAATGTGACACTAAAACTGACTAATAATAATAATAATAATATGGGCATAAGAAAATAGACTTACACAGTTAAGATTTTAAGCATGAAAACTACAAAAATAAACATACAAGTGCAAATAGGAATAACACAAGTGTTGAAACACAATTTAAATATAATAAAAGTATCTGAAAGTGAACTTATATCAGTTCTAGAATCATGTTAACTTTCTGAGCAAACTCAAATACATGAAATCTACAGGAACATATTTTATACTGACCCCCCCTTGATCACACGCTTTTCCTTTAAGCACCCATTATACTATACTCTCGTCTCTATATACAAATCCCAAATTTGTGTCTATCACTGCTTAACCACATGATATATCCACCCCCCACTACCTCTTCCAACTCATTTCATTTTGGGGTGCAAGCAGTTAATATCAGTGCATATACAATATCTTATTTCTCTAAGTTATTACTTTTTATAATCTTAGTTTCCTATGTAAACGTTTACAATAATTCTCAATTTCTTAAACTAATGCAACACAAACTAACGTTGTCTACACATGTTTATTTTCTTATCTGTTCATATCACAATTCTCATTTTTGTACTCAACTACTTATTCAGTACTTGAATGCCACTGGGATGGGATTGGAGAGGATAGAGGTAATAAGTGCAAGGGAGGGGATAGGTGGATAAAATGGGGCCGGATGATGGGAGGGGACAGCAGGCTGGGAGGGGATAGATGAACTTGAAGGGGCAGCAGGATGGAAGGAAGAAATGGCAAGAAGGGGAAGGAATACAAGTAGAAAAATGAACAAGAAAAACTAGAGATAAGAATGAAAAGAGGAGGTAAAAATGAAAGGGGGGAAAGAAATAGTAAACAAAATGGAAGGTTTAAAAACAGGTAATTAAGGAAGAAAGTGTAGACAAAAAATTAAGAGGGCATGGCACGGGTCAGGACCAGTTATACTGTCCACAGTATAGACAAACTAATAGACACAGATAAGCAAACATATTATACACAGTTATCCATTTATGAATGTAAAGCTATAACCTAAAATTCCAAAATCCAGACACAGTCTTAGAAAGTAATTTCTGATATGAATGTAACCATGGTTTAAAACTTTATCTTCATTATTTATTCAATAATTTGATGAATAATCATCAATTATTCAAAATATAACCTCTTGAATTTACAGTTGCATTCATATATATATTTTTAATACACACATCATAATACCTAACAATAGCTACTCATGCCATAGATTTAAAACAGCAAACATATAAATGAAGATTAAACAACTTATTAATGCATCACTTTCTGAACAGAAAATTCTCTATTTTGATATACGTACTGTACACAATTTCAGTCACTGATACTTTTCTCTTCTGCCTTTTATAAAAAGCACATCAAAGGCCATTCATGTTTAGGTATCGTTACAAAAGATGTCTTTGAAGTAACATTTTTAAGGCATCCTTTATTATATTGAAGATCTCTGCTTTCAAAGGAAATCAAGTTCATTAAAGAACAACATACATGTTTGCTTGTCTAAGTGTTTTCAATATATTTCTACCTTCTAGAGTACAAGTTGTGCTAATACATTCCCCTTTTCTGTCTCCAGAGTATGATGCTACAATTTTAATAACAATATAATCGCTGAACATCATCCAAATGCAGACGAGAAGTCACAATAACGTGGCTGAAATATGTTGACCAAACCACACACTAGAAAGTGAAGAGACGACAACATTTCGGTCTGTCGTGGACCATTCTCAAGTCGTTCTGGATGATTCTCACAATCGACTTGAGATTGGTTCAGGACGGACCGAAGCGCCGTTGTCCCTTCACATTCTAGTGTGTGGTTTGGTCAACATCATCCAAATTAATTAGTAGTATCAATGTGTGCCATCGTTGCTATATCAAGGTCAGTGATGTTGGCCGGCCATTACAAGTTATCGTCAGAGTCATAGAGTAAGAGTTACCGCACATCAGATGATTATAATAAATTCAAAGCAAAGCAATCATCATGTAGCATCTGCAGGAATCAGTTGGGCACATGTTAAGTAATGTGGGGTTAAGTGCTAATAATACTACAAATTCTACAGTAATCTTGATGTGCATGTTTAATTTATATACCTTAAGCAAAATACTGTACAGTACACCAATTAAATTTTTTTTCCATATTTTCATATTTTTGTTATTATAAGCAGAGTCTGTTAAAGCATTGAAAACCAATAAAATTTAGTAATATTTAAACATTTATAATATTTGTTCAGTTTAAAACAACAGGTGCAAGCTTATAAATTATACAAATCACAATGTATACCAGTAATTTTATGATAACTGAAACAGCTATTCAGTATATCACATTCACATACATTACAGTACAAAATGTATGCTAGACATAATGACGATCCAAAAGCTACCAAACGAAAAGTCATTATAGAAAAAGGGCTAATAATTGTGTATGTGTGTATATATGCACGAGCTCCAGCTGCATGCACCAGAGAACTTAATCAAATTACTGTCAAAATGTTAGGAAAATGCTTGGAGTCCCAACAAAATAATGTAAATAAATATAAAAAAGTTGCATTACAAAAGGTAGAATATAAAATGTTCAAAAAATACGGAGAATGTTGCTAGGCAAGCAAACTGCCGTATTAGCACAAGTGTGTATACAGTGGCGTAGCAGCATGACAGTGGCACAGCAGCATGACATAGACTAACCATTCCAGAGAAAACTGGCAGGAGAGGTAGAAAGTGCTACCGAGTGGCGACAAATAAGAAGACACATTAGAGCAGAGTTAAGAGTTTTCATTTTGAAGTCACTCATAACTTGTGATGAGAGACACCCGCAAGAAAAACAAAGCAAAGAAGGAAGTGAAACAAGACTAAAGCTGCTACTACTAGACAATTTCAAGTACAGGAACACTGAGTGGGCAATTAGGGATTACCCTATATAGAGAACAAAACACAGGACCAAATTAGTGGAAACTCCAAATATGTACTTTCTGAAGCAGAACAGATGCAGACAACATGGGGAATGGGTGAGGATGAACTGGCAAAGTTAGACCATGATGTTTACCTCAAGTAAGGTAGATATTGAGAAGATGCTACTTGGTGTCAATCACCACTGATAAATGAATGAATGACTACATAATTGAGCTGAAGGAAACCAGAATGTAAAATATGCCTGGAATGCAACTATAGACAGCAAGAGACTTCCTCCATATGGTAGAGAGAAAAAGCTTGAGGGAAGAAGAAATGAGATTGACTAGATAGAAAAATATATAACATTCAAAGACAAAGTAGGAAAGAGCAAGTCTAACCAAGGGCTCAACAGACAACACACACAGTGAAGGTCTGAAAACCTAGAAGACTACTAATGTGTCTTTTCTTACTCAAGAAAATAAACAAAAAGTGTGGCATGAAACTAGTGTCACTGACATGCATCTCTTGTAAAATGGTGAAGATGATAATCAGAAAGAGGGCATGGCTTCAGAAGAATATGATATTCTTGACAAACTTGATTTTGAGTTCTACATGGTCATAAAGGTACAGGATCAAGGAGGATAGGTGACTTGCATCTTCCAAGATTGCCATAAGCCTTTGACACTGTTCCCCACAAGACTAATTTGTTAGTTGGAAGAACATTCTAGGTTAACTGGGAAAATACTAGATTAGATTACAGTATACCTGACAAACAGGAAACGCTCAGTTGTGGTGTCAGGTTAGTCTTAATTAAGTGGCAAATGGGGTCCTACAGTTCCTGATTTATGTAACTGATTTTCCAGAGGTAGGGATGAAACAATAATCAAGTTTGCAGACCACACAAAATTAACGAGAATGCTAAGAACCAAAGTCTGCACAATACTATGGGTCCAAGCAGGTATATCTAACAAATGGTTGCTGGAGCTTAATTTCATCAAATGCAAAGTAAAGAGTTTTAGGAGAAGAGACTTGAAGGACAGATTAGTATATAAAAGGAGACAACTGTAACAATATACAAAACCTGGAAGTACAGTATATGTAACATCAGAAGCACATAAGCAACATAAGAAAAAACTAGAAAATATGATAATGGTTTGCAAGAGCTTAAGCAAGGAATTCTTCAAAATACATCGCATACATTATATTATTCCTAGAATTCGCCAGCATTGAATCAACACTTGGTAAAGCTCAAACAAATTGACAGAGTTCAATGATATACTGTACCACAAACATTTATGAATAAAGTTTTTGAATTTGAACTTGAAATATGGAAGCTAAAACAAATGACATTAGGATTAAGTGAGGATCAACAAAATGAGAGGTCACAGATGAAAGGTGGAAACAATGATGAGCCAGAGAAATGGAAGGAAATACTCATGTAGTGAGAGCAAACAAATACAAGGAATATTAGCTAGAGGTGGTGGAAGCAACCACCATTGACAGTTCCAAGAGCAAGTATGACAGTACTGGAATGTCAGGTATAAATGCATCAGATGTAATAGATCTTTTTTTTCTAGGCGCGGCTCTAGAGATAAATCTTGCTCTCCATAGACAACTAAACACAATATTGTATAAATTGTGGGGCAAGGAATTAAAATAATAGGTAATTATCAAAAGAAAGTGTGAAGCCCAGAAGACTATAAAGCACTACCTGCAGCACAGAATATTAAGAAGCTGCTAGATATCATTCACAATGCCAATACCAGAGTAAAGAGAGAAGATAAATGGCAAAAAACCGATTTGCCGAGAATTTAAAGTTTCCGACCATCCTGGAAACTAGGAAATTCTATGAGGAGTTACACAACTATTATAGCAAAAAATTGTAATGGAAGTCATAGACCAGACTGAAAAGGATGGCCTACTATAGCATAATTTGTTTATATAACACACACTCCACTTGGTGGCCCACTATTTGTCCAGCCTCTGTAATACCCTATTACTGTATTGACTAATAGTTTTCTAATTAACATTTCTTAATTTTTGCTCTTTATATCTTTTCATGGTTATTTAATTTTACTCTAATGCTTTTATATACAAAAAGTCAGTCATACATAAACATTTTCAGCTAATGCTCAGAGTGAAAGATCTACTCTAATATTTGTTGAGGTATATAATAAGCATTACTACTGAAACTAAAAAAAAAAAAAAAGTAGTTTTAGGCAAAACTATAAATGGTCCCAAAGATATCGTCAAGCTATATCAGTAAGCATGAATCGACATCTCAGAATATGGCATTTTATCGAACTGAAGCAATATTAAACACAAGTTCTAACTATTCCCACAGTGAAACCCTTAATTTGTTGCACAAAACTGATATGCATGTATATTAAGAAGAAAAATAGTACGACATGTCCACTATAATACCATAACTTAATAAGCACTTGGGCATGTTGTAATACTCTGCCTACTACTGAGGCAGTTAAGTGTCTTTGAAGTTTCAACTTTTTTAGTACACCAATGATAATGTTCATAATAAACCAAACAAACTAAATGATATAACTGAGGAGCTTGAAAGTTTTCCTGCCATCAGTGACAACTATTTTGCCAGGAAAGTTAACTTAGATTCATCAGTTTAGTTCATTCCACAAGTGAGGGAACATGTCTGTATGTAAACATGAATATTTGTGTGCCTGTAGAATGTACACATTTGTATATGTGTATGAATACAAATGTGCCTTAGCCACTGAAGCATCGATGGCTTCAGAAAGTGTTGTAATAACGTGAATCATTACAACACTGACAAAGGCTTGGCAAAAACCTTAAAAACAAAACAATAGAATAAAAAAAAAATTACAAAAATGAGCAGCAAATAAAATCCTAAAAGGAATTCAAAACAGGAAGGATATACAGACAAAAACCAACAAGGAACAAACTACTGAGGGGAAGGTGTACAAGCAAACCATGAAAGGCCTACTGATGGGTAACATATACTGTAGAGACAAGCCATGAAGGAACTACTGAAGGGGAGGATATACAGACAAACAAAGTAGGATTTACTGATGGGAAGTACAGTATATACAAATACAAAACAATAAGGAACTATTGATGGGCTAGATATACAGCACAAAGATATACCAAAAGATAAGTAATTAATAAGAAACTTTGGGAAAATAGCAGTTAGTATTGGAATAACAAATTCAGATATATACTATATATTTTTTAGATTGCATTACAAATTTATTTCATAAAGGTTATAAAACAATAAAAAATAATAATAATATACAATTCAGACAATGTTGCCTGTTAGTGATAAACAGCCAAATTTGGCCAAACAAAATGTTCCTTGAATCATTTACTAGAGCTATAATAGTTTTGTAAACTTGCACCTATTTTAAGTGATAAATTCCATAATTTCGAAGGCTGATATATGCGCAAAAAGACAACATGATTACCTGACATTAGAATTAAGAACCCAAAACATTTGTATATAGTAAACAAATGGTGACTAGTGTTATTTTATTCTGCCAAACATTTGGGCAATTCTTTCCTGAGTTCCTGCTTGAACTGGTTCTCATTGAAATGCAGCACATTTTCTACACAAGGCTAATATGTAAAGGGTTTAATAACTATAAAGATGTGGTCAAATCCTGTATTCCTCAAGTATTTTTTTTTTAAGTGACCTGTCCTTCCACCTAAAAAGTTGGCACTTTGAGGGCAGCTTTAAAGATACAATATTATGATCAAATAATTATTAAGTGCAACTCAATTTGAGCCATAATGGTAACATGTCCAGAATTAGAGAAATATTCAGTTACCCAAGTATAAATTCAAGTACTGGTTATTATGATAACCTTCCAGAGAAACTTTAAATATTAAAAATAACAATATGTCCTCCTAAAAATTAAAGCTACTGAATTTGGAAAACATTATAGAAGTCGAGGTGAAGTGCAAGACGAGTAAAAGCTGCAACACAAAAAGCTCCACGTCTCAGAGACAATATAAAACATTTCTAGAGTATTACCAGGAAAGAGGCATACAAATAATTTGGCAACAAACATAATTAATTATAAAGAGAAGACACCAAGCCTAGGTTTGGCAACCAAAGCTAAAACAAAGTAGCATTAGAAGGAGAATGTAATGATACATACCAGTAATGCCTATTTGGTAACAATTTTGTTTAGCAGCATTGCTTGAATAATACGCAAATGTTATTCCCTTCCATTCACCTGGGCTCTAGGAGACTCGAACCGCGGATCCCACACGTGTGAGGCCGAAGCTCTCTCGACCGAGCTATTGAGTAGTACAGGTATTAATAAGGAGTGTTTCCAGAAGCAGCATCTATGCTGTCAAAATGGAATTTTTACCTTTCCCTGACTACTACTGAAGCTCAGAGGAATTAGTGATCCACATCCACGTCATATAAATTGTCATCCACACTTCCATGGAAATAATAAAATAAATGTTATTATTCTTTTGCTGCTCTCTATAATACTGTTATACAGGAATACCCCTTTGATTGCTGCACACGTCTGTTAAATACGAGTACTGTACTAGTATTCTATCAACTCACATCTGTTAGGCAGACCCAGCCATCAAAGCATGTAAGTATTTTTGGTGATGTACTTTGTGTCCTCATTATGAGGTAATCTTATAATTACTAGTTTAAACAAGTGTTACAAGGCATACAGCTTACCAGACAAATACAATAGAGATAAAACTTATTTCAGAATCTTCAATAGCTCATAAATTGTGATTAAGTTTTTTACATTTTATTTTGCAATACACCTATAAATGTACCGCAGTCTGTCACTCAATAACACGACTGCATTATATAGTAAAATATACCATTTAACAAATTCTACCTTCATTAAATTACTTCAAAATAAATTAAGTGGCTTGCAAATTGGAATTGATTGTGGGCCTCATTACTAAGGAACATATTGTACAAGGCAGATGTTCTCATTTGGCAGCTGTGCTACTTCTTTACTCATATTAAAAAAGAATAGAGGTGGTACCAGAAGAAAATATTAAAATGTTCAGTGATAGATAGATAGATCCACATAGATAGATAAAATCCACAAAGAAATGGAAAAGAAAGATGAACGTTTCGGCCGATCAGGGCCATTGCCAACACCGGACTGATCGGTGTTCTTTCCATAGTATTTCGTTGTCAACATCGGACTGATCAGTCTGGTGTTGGCAACGGGCCTGACCAGCCAAAACGTTCATCTTTCTTTTCTATTTCACTGTGGATTTTCAGCATTTTATATATTTATTATATATATATATATATATATATATATATATATATATATATATATATATATATATATATATATATATATATATATATATATATATATAATCTTTTATTCTTTATTTACTTTAGTTTCTGGCATCCTAACTAGTAAATCTAAGCTTAAAACAAAATTCTGTACGGTATTTTTTTTTTACCTACATAATTTTCAAGCTTTCAAATAATCATATATTAACAGAAATGTATTAAATGTATGAAGACCTTTGGAACACAATTCAGCGGCTTCTTAATGGTCATTCTTGGTCATAAATCTCATTCCTTTTTCTTGGAAGCATCTTCAGTGGCAGAACTGCCTCCCTGTCCAGTCAAAACTGAACTCTTCATAAAATTAGCAATGACACTGATAGCTGTTGAGAAGTATTTCTGTATGATTCCATGACGCTTCAAACCAGGAAGCAAGACAATTCCCACCACTGTAACAAGAGTTCATACGAGCAAATTATGAAGGCAGTCGTTCCTAAAGAAATTGTTATTGCTTATACAGTACAGCTTATACTGAATAAAACTGCTCATGGAAAGATACTGCGAAAAGTAATATCGATGAACTAGTTGTATGGAAGAAGCATGCATACATGTGCAATAGGTAATAAACCCTATTTCCTGATTCATCTTTTTTTTTTAACAGAACAACAAGCCCATTTCCTATCGCTATTAAATTATAACATTAAATTCAGAATTAAGGCTTTAAGTTAACAATGACAAACACTTACCAATAAGGTAGGTAAGCAGCAGGTTGTTGATTGTGTTCCCTACCCAAGCACACAGAAGCAAACTGCCTGTTACCATCACAAAGTACTGGGAAAATAACATTATTATTAATAAAACAACGGTTAGAATACTTACATAAACAAGTTCAAATTAAACTAAATGTTATGATTAACACACAGTAATCTGAAAAGTTTATACTGTATTATAGTTAGTTTCAAAAGGAAAGGTTTCTACAAGATATAAAATAGGCCAACTGTCCTCTTTCATCCTTGGCTTTCAAGTTGAAGTTTGTCCAGAAATGTCAGTTTTAAGAAAAAAAAAGGCAATAAAAAATAAAATGATTTAAAAAGTTTGTCTGGTCTCTATTAGCCATTTTAATTATATTTCTATAATTACTCGCAAAATGCTGTTTTATAAAATAATTTAACATGCTACTGTACTTTCAACAGTCAATAATATAATAGAACTGAGCTATGTATACTTTTATACCTAATGCTTGAAATATGTATTAGTAATCCCTTTCTTTCATAGTGCAAATCCTTCACTCTATACCTACTATAATCTATATTTCAATCTATATTTCACACACACATTACATATACAATCATCCCATCATTCTCGGAGCCTATTCTTAATTAACCATTAAAATTATCATGACTAACTTTACACATTCTAACTTTAATTTCATGCAAAATCATCTTAAACTGTGACAGACATTTATTGCACCATACTATGTATCATTCATTAACCCTTAAGATGCCCAAAGCACCCGAAACTGCAAAAAAATATAACAAAATTCAAGATACATTAAAACATATTCTAAGAATGAAGCAACACTTTAGTGCCAACTGTATACTGTACAATAAATTAGGCTCGATTTTCTATAATTATTGGGTTGACTTGGGCAGCCAGCTAAATTAATCCCAAATATTTGTGTTTAAATAATATAATTTGCATGATAAATTTATGGATACACCATTAGAAATTCAAGTTTACTCACTGTCCTTGGTTTCGATTCCTTCATTGACGTAAGAGTATTTGAGATGTATGAAGCCAAGCCACAGAGGGAAGCTATGGAGGTAATGATCTGCTCATAGTTGCGCTCATGAGCCCCCGTCCAATAGTGTGCTCCTACTATCCAAGGCACAATCTGCATAACATAATAAGAAAGCGTTACAAGAAAGTTTGAAATAAAATTTAAAACTTCTACTCCTACAAAAAGGAATTATTGAATTATTGATTATTCAAGTATTATTAAACTTGAATTATTCAGAGGAATTCCTGAAACCAGCAACTTCAAGAACAGGAGGACATAGATTCATGCCAAGGAAACAAAGGTGCCAAAAAAAATATTAGAAAGTTTTCTTTGGCAAACAGGGTGGTAAATAGTTGGAACAAGTGAAAAGGTGGAGGTCAAAACCGTCAGTAACTTAAAAGCGTTATGTGACAAACAGTACAGTACTGTACTGGGAAGACAGATCACCATGAGTATTGCTTTCATCCTGTAACTACACTTGGGTAATTACACTCTCACACACAAACACACTACGGTAAGAAAAGTAAGCAACAATTTGGAAGAATACTTTCATGTGTCTCAAACTTCCAGAGACAAATTCAGGCTTTCAGAAGAGTCAGTAGAACTATTTTTTTTTTAATCATAAGATACAGTAGTAAATTTTTGTGTACACACAAGTGTACATGTATAGACATGTATGCATATGCACGTATGAGCAGTTGCGTGAATTCATTCACTTACACATTATGTTCTTAACTAACCTGTGGCACTAAATAGTCACAGAGTGTTACTGTGATTCCCAACACAGAGAGTAATGTCAGCATTGAAGGCTCTATGTACCAGATTGCACTGAAAAATAAATATTTTAACTGCATTCACAATACATTAACTTTAGCTGTAATTTAAACAACAATTTCTTATCGTAAACTTCTCATTTACTACATTTTTTGTTACATAAATTACTATTAGATACTGTACTAGAAAATTTAGTAATTTTGTCTTGCAATACATACATTTGAGAATTCAAATGTATATTTACATTACTTTATTTAAATAATAAGTATAAATTTAAAGATATCATAGTGAAATTATTCTTCCTAACATGAAGTTAACATGACCTTTTTTAGTTATGGTAGAACAAATTGAAATATCAATAATGGCGTAATAAGTACTTTTAAAAATCAAGAACAGTTAGAACCAAGTTCTAGATTTGCAACTTTTTCAGTTTTTAAATACCCTGATGTTGGACTATTAAGTTACTGATGTTGACATGACATTTGATCAATGCTGTCAACACTGGAATAATGTTGCCTTAACACTACCAACTTATTGCTAGGTTAATGAAACTATTTAATTTCAAAACACCTTGGAAAAACATATGATCAATTTTAGCACAACATACTCTACGTAACTATTGTATTTTAAAATAATTTTGCACTTTAGGAGTATCCAGTTACCAGTTTTACAAAGACCAGATTATTATTACTTAAATGTATTGTTCAAGACAAGTTATTTTGTCTATACACACTATACCAATGTATTTTATATAAATCTGTTTATAACTATCATGTTTCATAAAAATGATTATTCATCACAAGTTTCCATCATAAAGGACTAACAAGCTAATCATGGTAAATTACTATCAAGTACTGTACAGTATAAGACTGAGACAAATCTTACAGAAACAGCGTTGTGACTGTTGAGATAGATATGAATGGATAGTAATGTTTTTCCCATATGAGTAGTGAGTGCACAGAACACAGCACCTCGCGCCACCCTTCCAGCTCTCGGCGCAGTGTTTTAACACGCCGATCCTGCAAACAAGATAAAAGTTATACAATAATTAAAATTTTAAAACTTAAGTCTTATATCAGTTACATAACAAAGTCTAATATTAATTTTATAACCTTTGAAATTTTAAGTTTAACATTTACATTACTAAATATGCAGTGCAAATTTACCAACTACAATACTGAAATAACATCTAAACTAGATAGTTATTACTTTTCAAAACAGCCATAAACTTGAAAATTATTAAACACAATTATCTCTACTACTTTTTCCTCATTTTTACTTTCAGGCATCAGTCCAAAAGAAATTTTAGAATAAATAGAACATTAAGTGTATCTAACAAATTCCCTCAACATTATACAATACTGTATACAGTAGCATGTCTTCTGCACTATATACAGCAGCATTAAATAGAGCCAGCAATAAAGCCACAGTAGGACCCCACTGCTTCATACAACCAACCTGAGAGCCGCTAACCCTAGAGGCTTCAATGAGGACAGAGGGCAACTAAATCTCACTCTAAGTAAAAAATGTAAGTTTGATTTAGAGTGATGTACACCTGTCCAGTCCAGGCAGTATTGCAACTTGTATAAGTTATGAATAGTTTCTGTACCTGATAATGACAATGTTATAATATGTTGTTACTGTGACATCAAATGTAATTATTAATGTACTGTAATTGTTATGTTAACTTTCCAAATTCTAAATGAACCACCACTTATGAACAAAGATTTTGATTTGATAACGAATTGTAAAGAAAAAATTATCCCACAAGAAATTAATTTCTCTCATACATTTTTCTAATGAAAGGATAATACAAAATATGTTTGGCAAGGTTTGATAGGGATAAGTTTACCCTCCTTCTGGTAGCAACAGTACCTCGCACAGCAACACAGACCAGCACTCCACAGCAACACACAGACCAACACCCCACAGCAACACACAGACCAACACCCCACAGCAACACACAGACCAACACCCCACAGCAACACACAGACCAACACCCCACAGCAACACACAGACCAACACCCCACAGCAACACACAGACCATCACCCCACAGCAACACACAGACCACCAACCCACAGCAACACAGGTTAGCACCCCACAGCAACACACAGACCAGCACCCCACAGCAACACAGACCAGCATCCCACAGCAACACATAGACCAGCACCCCACAGCAACAGAGACCAACACCCCACAGCAACACACAGACCAGCACCCCACAGCAACACACAGACCAGCACCCCACAGACCAGCACCCCACAGCAACACACAGACCAGCACCCCACAGCAACACACAGACCAACACCCCACAGCAACACACAGACCAGCACCCCACAGCAACACACAGACCAGCACCCCACAGCAACACACAGACCAACACCCCACAGCAACACACAGACCAAAGCACCCCACAGCAACACACAGACCAGCACCCCACAGCAACACACAGACCAGCACCCCACAGCAACACAGACCAGCACCCTACAGCAACACACAGACCAACACCCCACAGCAACACACAGACCAGCACCCCACAGCAACACACAGACCAGCACCCCACAGCAACACACAGACCAAAGCACCCCACAGACCAACACCCCACAGCAACACACAGACCAGCACCCCACAGCAACACACAGACCAACACCCCACAGCAACACACAGACCAACACCCCACAGCAACACAGACCAGCACTCCACAGCAACACACAGACCAAAGCACCCCAAAGCAACACACAGACCAACACCCCACAGCAACACACAGACCAGCACCCCACAGCAACACACAGACCAGCACTCCACAGCAACACACAGACCAAAGCACCCCAAAGCAACACACAGACCAGCACCCCACAGCAACACACAGACCAGCACCCCACAGCAACACACAGACCAGCACCCCACAGCAACACACAGACCAGCACCCCACAGCAACACACAGACCAACACCCCACAGCAACAGAGACCAACACCCCACAGCAACACACAGACCAACACCCCACAGCAACAGAGACCAACACCCCACAGCAACACACAGACCAAAGCACCCCAAAGCAACACACAGACCAGCACCCCACAGACCAGCACCCCACAGCAACACACAGACCAGCACCCCACAGCAACACACAGACCAGCACCCCACAGCAACACACAGACCAGCACCCCACAGCAACACACAGACCAGCACCCCACAGCAACACACAGACCAGCACTCCACAGCAACACACAGACCAAAGCACCCCAAAGCAACACACAGACCAGCACCCCACAGACCAGCACCCCACAGCAACACACAGACCAGCAATACTCACCTGATCTTGTGTCATATCCATTGCACGATTTGTTTACAAATCTCCCAGCTCGGAGACCGCGTTCCTGCACCAACTCCACGATCTCTAAATTTCTCACCTCACACTTGGTTAAACAGTCAAGAGTCTACAGAACAACACACGCCAACACTCGTCTCGTCAAACTGCTCCCATACGACCTTATGACAGGGACGGGGAATATTGTATTTGGGAGTGGTAGAGGGAGACGCAGCCTGGGTCCGCAGAGTGGCGCCTGGCACTCCCTGCCCCGCGCCTGCGCACTCCTCTCTCTCTCGCTAACGGAAATTTAAACCAATACTCTGAACATTTTCTATAATATTCATAATTTATGAAGGTTAAAAGTGCATGCATGTGTGGATAAGATACATGAGTAGTGGTGGATTCGTAGGTAAGAGACACGGTACAATGCGTGAAGCCACTATTACGAAGAACGTATATTACAAGGGGGTGAACTACGGTCCTAATCATGAATGAAAGTTACAGCAAATCTTGCGATCAATGGTTATGTTGAGTTAATGTTTGGCTGTCATAATATGTTTTATAAATTAACAAAAATCAATTGGGAGCAAATGTTGGGATTCAAACGGTTAAAACCTTCGGCTTGAATACTCCCAAGATGCGCACCTTAATTACTACTGGACCAAGCAGCCCGTCCTCCAAAAATGGGGTGGTAAATGTAAGAAGACAAATAAATGCAATTATGTACTATTCATAGCAGTTAGGAATTGTACTTATTTTCACTTAGTATTAAATCGTAGTCATATATATTGTGAATATTTGAGTTTACCTGAAAAACTGAATAGAAAACCACACCCTCGCCTATCCGTCTTAGTTTTTGAAGATAATAATTTTATTGCTTCTTAATTACAATTAGTACTTAATTTATAGCTATATTAATATTACAGTTTTATAAAACTAATAAAACAAAACTAAAATATATCAATAAATTGTAAAGTAACTCAGGATATTTTAGAATTTTGTATAAAATCTATATTGTTTAATAAACCTGAAAAAGAAATTCCTGATATTTAAACCTTGTGAATTACAAACTTAAATTAAAAACTTTATCCTAGAATTTTTAGTGTCTTAACAGAAAACGAAGAGAATTAAATCAGGGGGAGGGAGTTGAGTAAAAGTAAGTCCATAAGTACAATTATGCGGACCAAGACATGGTCATAACTTGCGAAGAAACTGATCCCACAGGACGTGTGCTGGAGACCTCTACTGAAGCCAGTCCTGGTTTTACATGTAACCCTTATGCACGCAGTGTATGGAGGTTATATCCACCACTTATGATACAAGCAAGCAACATTTTGTTAGCATCTTTACACATATAACAATAGTTAATCAGCATTTTAATTAGAATAATACTTAATATGCTAATCAAGCTAAAATATATGAATTGTTAAGATAAGACAGCCACTGTTCATTCACTCAGCAGTATAGGTTCCGTGTTTTTTTCAGTATGGGGGGAAATAGTGACTAGAGACTTGAGAGTTTTTAAATTATTAATTATATACAAGAGTTCTTACATTCTTGTAAAGTCACTAGCTTTATAATTCAGAGGTACTACGGGCAGGTCCTTAATCCTAATTTTCCCCGGAATACTACCCACCAAATCGTTTAACAACTGGGTACCCATTCACTGCTGGGTGAACAGAGGCTACAGTTAAAGATCCTCCCCCGCCAGGCTACGCTACGTACCCAGGCCAAAGCGCTTGATATAATAGAATAAGAGCTAGTTGTGAGTTCACACATTACGGGCTATTCATGCCCGTGCCACCTCTTGGGCGGCGTAATCTTCATCAATCATCTGTGAGTTCATCTGATAAAGTTCAACACCTGGCAACAAAAATCATTCCAGAACTAAGTCGACTCTCGACGGGCCCCAGGGCTGCAAACCAGACATGACAGGGCTAATCTCATCGAAACTTTTACAATATTGAACATGGAGTATATTGAGCCAGACCACTTCTTCAAAGGTCAGATGTAACACGAACAAGGAACAATGGAGTCAATCTCAACCAGCTACACTGTAGGACAGAAAACAGGAGATGGATTTTCACCAACAGCTGTTATAAAGCCATGGAACCTACCCGCCGAAACTGTATACGCCAAAACCCTGCTACAATTTAATATCCAAGCAGTGTTGCCAGATTGGGCTACAAGTAGCGAATTGGGCTACTTTTGAGAGCCCCGCGCTCAAAAATTTTTAATTTCGCTACTTGCTACTTTTTGGGCTAATTTAAAAGCAAGATGTGCTAATTTGGGCTATTAATGTTAAGAATGTACAATTGCGAGTTACATGAAAGTAACTAAGATATAAAAAACTGTAATTAATAATAATTGTAAATATTAATTAATACTAAATAATATTATTTAATAAATTAGTCCCAATTCAATGCAGAGTTTTCTTCCAAGCACAGAAACTTGTAAATATAAATACAAGATAATAGATAGATCGATAAATAAATAGACAACTTTCAAATATTGTACCAAGTAATGGCGAGAGGAAAAAACTAGACAGTATACATTACATTTGAAATTAATAATGGATGAATGGTAATAAATTGGTGTATGTTTGTATGTATACCAGACAAAGTCCATTGAATGGCAGAATTTGGCCATTTTGTCTAAAAACTTTTATATCTCATATTATTAATTATAACAGTAATCGAAAAAGTCATAGTTTGTATATACAAGAGATGAAACAGAGAGCCATGAGCTAGAGCGATGTGCTGAGTCCATAAGGAGGCCGAGCTTCCAGAAATACCTTCCTGTGATTGGCTGTTGCGGGGAATACCAACACACTTTTATGAATAAAATTTAAACTAAGAAATAGGTCCTTGTGCACAACAACAAGGTTGTTGTGAAAAAGAACAACAATTTCTGTTTTGCACCTGACACAAATCTCCATCTAACTGAATAATTTACTCGAATAAGAGGGTAGAGCAGCGTATCATTATTTGTGACAAGGCAACCCCCAATAATAATGTCACAAGTTAGGTAGCCAACCCATGTTTCTGTAACACCCGTTACATCCTGCAATAGTTTAATTATCACTTTGTTAACACTTTAAATAATTAACACTTCACTTTTTTTTTTTAGGTAAATTAAAGTTGAAGCAGAATGTTATAAGCAAGGATGGTGTGCTGAATAAAGATGATTTATTAAGTGGATGGAGCCTTCAGCTGATCCCTTCCTGTGATTGGCTGTTGTGTGAATGTCAACAAAGAGTTTCTACCAATGATATGCCATTTATTATGCACCCCGTACATCTTGTGGGCGGAGCTTGGAACCTCCTACCCGAGCACAACAACCCGCCTTATGGGTTGCTGTTTGGCTATTTATAGTGCGTTGGAAAAGCAACAGATGGCGTTAGTTGTATTTTGTGGGGTAATTTGTTATAAGTGTAATTTGATGTCAACAGATGGCGTAAGCTGTATCTTATGGCTACTGTTGACCAGCCAGTTGATAGTGTTCTCTTCTGCCGACAGATGGCATCAGCTGTGTTATTATTATTTTAATAATATTATTACGTTAATAATAATGTATTGTTATTACTTTAAACACTGATCTATACGTCTGGTAGCTTATAATAAGGTTTTATACCTTGCTGGTATTAGGTAACTAGAATTCTGCAAGTACTTTTTTTTATCTACTGTTGAGGATATGTAAGACAAATGTAAGGTTTTGAGGCTAAGTAACGAAGATAGTTACAAGATACGAGCCAGATGGTATTGAGATTGCAAAAGGAATTATGATAAGAACTTAAGCCAAAAAATCAATGCATAAATGTTCGCAAATATGAGACTGGGATTTATTTCTCGAAAAGTTAGCAATAAAATACGCTTTCTAATTCTTTATTTTTTAAATTAAGACCAGGGATTCTGTCTAACGAAACTGCAAGCTAAAACACCGTTATCCTATAATGTTCATCTGTAACTTGACCCTAAATACTCGTTTATTAAACGAATTTATTGTACGAGTTCATTAGGAATCAACGTTGTTGAAGGCAGAGTTTCCAACAAATACCTTCCTGTGATTGGCTGTTGCGGGGAATACCAACACTCTTTTATGAATAAAATTTAAACTAAGAAATAGGTCCTTGTGCACAACAACAAGGTTGTTGTGAAAAAGAACAACAATTTCTATTTTGCACCTGACAGAAATCTCCATCTAACTGAATAATTTACTGGAATAAGAGGGCAGAGCAGCGTATCATTATTTGTGTCAAGGCAACCCCCAATAATGACGTCACAAGTTAGGTAGCCAGCCCATTTTATATAACATCTGTTATATCCTGCAATATTTAATTATCACTTCATTAACACTTTAAATAATTAACACTTCACTTTTTTAGGTAAATTAAAGTTAAAGCAGAATTCCATAAGCAGGACTGGTGGGCTGAACTAAGATGATTTACTAAGTGGATGGCACCTATACCTGATCCCTTCCTGTGATTGGCTGTTGCGGGGAATGCCAACGCTTATATGAATAAAATGCAAAATAAGAAATACGTCCTTTTGCTCTATAACCTTGTTGTTGTTGTTGTACAAAATAAACAACAATTTCTGTTTTATACAAGACAAATTTCCATCTAACTGAATAATGTAGAGCAATAAGAGGGCGGAGGCATTGTATCGCCGATATTATTTGTGTGAGGCAACACCCACTGATGACGTCACAAGTCAGGTAGCCAGCCCATGTTTCTATAACACTCGTTACATCCTGCAGTATTTAATTATCACTATATTAATATTTTTAAATACTTAACATTTCACTTTTTAGGTAGATTAAAGTTGAAGCAGAATGTCATAAGCAAGGATGGTGAGCTGAATAAAGATGATTTATTAAGTGGATGGAGCCTTTAGCTGATCCCTTCCTGTGATTGGCTGTTGTGTGAATGTCAACAAAGAGTTTCTACCAATGATATGCCATTTATTATGCACACCATACCATCTGTGAGCGGAGCTTGGAACCTCCTACCCGAGCACAACAACCCACCTTATGGGTTGCTGTTTGGCTATTTGTAGTGCGTTGGAAAAAAACTAGATGGCGTTAGTGGTATTTTATGGGGTAATTTGTTATAAGTGTAATTTGATGTCAACAGATGGCGTAAGCTGTACCTTATGGCCACTGTTGACCAGCCAGTTGATAGTGTTCTCTTCTGCCGACAGATGGCATCAGCTGTGTTATTATTACTTCCGAATTCGCTTTAAACACTGATCTACAAATCCCTTGGCTTATGATAAGGTTTTATACCATTTATGATAAGTATTAGATAACTGGAGTTCTGCAATTACTTTTATTTATCAACTGTTGAGGATATCATCATATAATGTCTGGTTAGGACGTACTGCTCTCGATTGATGAAGATTAAGCCACCCAAGAGGTGGCACGGGCATGAGTAGCCCGTAAATACTGCTCTCGTAATATTATTCAGGGGAGTGGGGGAACTATCAAGTGAAAGCGCCAAGCCATTACGACTATATAGCACTCGGACGGGATCAGGCTCCGGATTTGAGATGGAACGGGGGAAAGGAATGGTGCCCAACCTCTTGGGCGGTCGGGGATTGAACGCGGACCTGTAGGAAACGAGACCGTCCAGCTCTAAGTGGTTAAGCGTAATATTATTAAAACAACAATTTATGCATATAATAACAGCATTTCACACTAAAAATACTTGGATATATTGAAATTTGGTAGTGAATTCCAATCTAGGAATCTCCTATGACTAAACTGTACTTTTTAATCATTTTTATGTACTTAATATTAAATTATTACGTACTTACTATAATAATTAAATAAATTATTTTATTTAATATTTAAATTAAATGATAAAATAATAGGTAATAATAAATCATTGTGTAGGGGGACAGGCAGCCAGTGTATATATACATGTTAGGCTTATACCAAGGTGCCACAAAGGTGCCAAATTGGGTGCTGCCGGGGCGGGCCCAAGGGCTGCTGGCGGCCCTGGCCAGGCTGAACTTCCGCGCCCTTATAATCACCATTGTTTAATGATTTTCATAGGGAGAAACAAATGAGGTTCATTTTCTGGCGAAAATAAACCTCATACTCTCTGACCAAACTAAATTCCAAAGGGTAACGAAGGACACTACAGCCAAATTGAAAACAAAGGTAAACAGATTGATCGAAACTGTGAACGCCAAGAAATCTGGACTTCACCTGCCAAAGATTATTGGGGAATACAAACCTGGGTATGTGTATGGAAATGTCAAGACACACAAGCCTGGAAACCCACTTCGGCCAATCATCAGCCAGATACCCACGCCCACGTACAGACTGGCGAAGCGACTCAACGGCTTGCTGACTCCTTATGTACCTTGTGCTTTCAGCCTGAAGTCTCCAAAGGAATTTGTTGACTTACTGCAGGGAATACGGACCACAAGGATAAGAGCCTCGTTGAATGTAGAATCACTGTTTACCAACGTACCTGTGGATGAAACAATCGGGATGATAGCGGACAGTGTGTATCGTGATCCGGCCTGTACTCCTCTTGACATACCAGAAAACATTCTAAGGAAACTACTACTAGCTTGTACTAAAGAGGCACCCTTCTTGAGCCCAGATGGGCACATGTATAAGCAAGTAGATGGGGTCGCCATGGGTTCTCCCCTAGGTGTCCTATTTGCGAACTTCTACATGGGTACCATTGAACAGGTCTTAGTTGACATGAATTTGAAACCTGCCATATACTGCAGGTATGTTGACGACATTTTTAAACAGGTACCTGATGTCAGACGTCTGCAAGAGCTGAAGGAGGCATTCGAGCGGAATTCTGTGTTGAGTTTCACTTAAAAGATGGAGAAGGATGGGAAGCTTCCCTTTCTAGATGTAACAGTCATGGAAAGGAGCGAAGGTTTCCACACTGCAGTCTATACTAAGGAAACAAACATAGGAATGCACCTCAATGCCAATAGTGACTGTCTAGACAGGTATAAGAGGAGTATTGTCAACGCTTACGTCGACCGTGCTCTCAGCCACAGCTCAGGATGGAAGCAAGTCGATGAAGAACTCTGTAGGGTAAGGCAGGTCCTAGTCAACAACGGCTTCTCCAATGGTTTCGTTGAAGACATCATAAAAAGGAAGGTGAAACGCCATGCAACCTCTGAAGAGTCAACTAACACAACATCTATACCCCCTATTAGACTATTTTACAGGAACTTCTTTTCCACAGCTCTTAAAACGGAGGAAAGGGTCCTGAAAGATACTGTTGATAGGAACGTTATCCCTACAGACAAAAATCAGAAGATAAAATTGACGGTTTACTATAAAACCAAAAAAACGGCCAACCTACTCATGAAAAACTCTCCAGACACAAAGCAGAACGCTTTAAAAGAGACCAACGTCGTCTATGCCTTCAAATGCCCTCTTGGGGATTGTAAGCCTCAAAAAAGTCAGTATATAGGCAAGACAACATCTCTTTCCAGGCGATTAACAATGCATAAGCAACAGGGGCTCCATTAAGGAACATATAATCTCTTCCCACAACCAGACCATCACCAGAGAAGTCTTAACAAACAACACAGAAATCATCGATAGATACAGCGATAGCAGGCGGCTTGACATCTGCGAGGCACTACACATAAAAAAGTCAACACCAGCAATCAACAGCCAATTAATGCACAACTATATTCTACCCACTTCAAGACTCCGTACCAATATAGAAGCATCAAGAGGAAGTATGGGCCAATAGGCCCTTTGCAGTTACTTCCGTTCTTCCCTCTCATTTATCCAATTTATACCCATTGTTCCGTGTTCTGTCTTGTGTTGGTCAAAAGTTTGTTCACCTCATCCAAAACTGTTGCAACATATCACCTCACCCAAATGCGAGTATATAAGACAAGATGTTCAGTGTTTGCATTAGTAAAACTATGTTTAGTGTTTTCAGGTTACAGTTGTGTGTGTGTGTAAACTAAAGTCTTTGAAAATGTAATAAGTTATTACGAAACGCGTTCAAGCGTCGCGTCAGACTAGAAATAAAAATGAATTTTGGAGAATTGATTTTTCAATTACTATCGACAGTAAAAACAAACATAAGAAATATTGAGAAAATTCGTTTATTGAGAATTATTGAGAAATTGAAATTATTGAGAATTATTATATATATATAATATGTGTGTGTGTATGTGCAGAAATAATATTAATAAAACAATTAACATCGTGTAGTGTACTCTATATATCAAAATATATTACTTTGAAATCCATATCATTCACTAACAAAAATTGGGCTACTCTTATTACAAATTCGCTACTTTTAGACTGTCAGCTCGCTACTTTCATCAATTTAGATCTGGCAACCGTGTATCCAAGTAGATAAAATCATCAGGGATGAAAGGGGGGATCTGTGACAAGCCGCCGGCTTCGTGTTCCGGTCGAGGCCCTTATGGAGATAGTGGCCTTCGGCGAAATTCAGGTAGGTATAATATCCTTATCTAGACGGTGTTCAAGGATACAGCACAAAGCATACTTCAGACTTATGTCAAACTTTGATCAGCAGGAAAGCAACGACAGCCTAGTTACAGCAGTAAATATAAAAAACTTTAGTTTATTAATGCGGTATCTTCGTTATCTAAAAGAACATTAGGGTTCCTGAGACATAACGTGCCTCTGAAACGCATCCACAACCTCACACAAGACGGGTATGGTACATAATAAATGAACTAAAGAAACTGAAAAAACTACCGTGGCATGTGAAATATGCAAGGCTTAATTATTTCAAGTCATGGGGAGGAGGAGTTTATCAGCGTGAGCGCATAACATCCGTCATTGGACCATTACTGCCAGCCTCCGGCCGTAGTTACTAGCAGTAATAGCTGGACTTTGTACAGGTGTACTTTTTACGTGGGTGAATATATATGTGACCGCTGACTCCACTGCCACAGCCACTGCAGGAAGCCTCGTGCACTGTGGGACGCAATACAACGGGTTCACACACGTGAGATTCACACGTTTTTTCAATGAACGAAAGAATTATGTTACACATTTTTTGATAGCCCCCAATGTCTAAATCTCTGATTAGCCCTGCATGAAGGCTTCACATAAAATTTGTGATTGAATCTCACTGTAATGACATACCTTATGTTAACCAAACCACACACTAGAAAGTGAAGGGACGACGACAACGACTTGAGAATGGTCCAGGACGGACCGAAACGTCGTCGTCCCTTCACTTTCTAGTGTGTGGTTTTGGTCAACATATTTCAGCCACGCTATTGTGACTCCTTATCTGCATACCTTATGTTACATCGTTCATTTCATGAAAGGTACGAGAGGAAAACACAGCCTGAAGTATGAAGGAGCGGACCTTGAGTGGTGCGGTAGTGTTGGCTCTGATGATGATGGTCGGTGCTGCAGGGTCCAGCAGGCCGCCCAACATCGTAGTCTTCCTGGCCGACGACCTGGGCATCGGGGACCTGGGCTGCTACGGTAACACCACCATCAATACTCCCAACATCGACAGGTGTGTAACTTTGTGTTCGCTAACACACCCATGAACTTGTAGTACTTTGTATTTTTTTTTTTTTAACTCGTAACATCATGTTTAAGCTTGACAATTAATCCATTGTCTGCACGGAAATATGCTTTTAAGTAACAACGCCGTGTGTTAGACGGTTTTGCAGTTAGCTTTGCCTTTTAATAGAGGTAGATCCCGATTGTTACCGATATTAAGAAGGAAAAACAAAAATAAAGTGATAACGCGTTATAAATTTTTGTGGATAAAGAAATCAAATCAAATCAAATGTTTATTCAGGTAAAAGTACATATATAGAGGATTAGGCACAAACATAATGTTGGATTTATAGATAGAGCTAGTACATACAATACCTAAAGCCACTAGTACGCATAGCGTTTCGGGCAAAGATTGCGTCACTTGAAAGAGATTCTCAGAAAATATACAATTCATCTCTCCCATAAGAGACAACAACGGCACTTCTCAACACGGTGGAAGATTACCTCTTCAAGTTCAAGTATGTTTATTGAGACAAAAAAGAAATACATCTCAAAGGGATAGAGTAGCTTAGGCTATTTCTACCCCCCCCCCCCCCTCACCCGGTACCTCTTCTCAAATTATTATCCCTCCCTTCCCACCCAAGAGGATGATCAAAGACCAACCTATGCTTAGACTTGAAGTTAAGTACGTAATGTCTTAAAAAAGACTAATTCTGTGCTCACAGATAGCTCCCTCTCTCAAACCATTTACACAGGGGGAAATTGATGGTTCTCTACACGACTAATTTGGCACTATTACTCATAGGATGGGTATTGCGTACTCTTCCATGTATATGAGGTGCACAACCACTCACATAATGGGTATGGGGGGCCACTATCACACACAGGATGAGCATGGGGTGCATAATTAACTAAATTAACCAGATATAATTCCTGTTGTCAGGGACAGGAAACCTGTACTTAGGATTATCGAGATCTTCCTAGACCAGTTACTGTCCTTCCCCAGGATGCAGCCCACAACAGTTGCCTAACTCCCGGGTACCTATTTACTGCCAGGTGAACAGAGGCATTAGGTAAAAGGATGTGCCCAACGGTTTCTATCCAGCCCGGGGACTAAACCCGGGCCCTTCGGTTGTGAGCTGAGAAGGTATATAACACTTGGAAATATTACAAAATAAAGCACCAAGAAGTCACATTAACGTGATGATCAATTTGAAAATCAGTAGGTTTGAGGCCTATTTACCTGATAACTATGCAAAAGATTAAATAATAATCTTGATAAATATTGCTTAACTTTGTTAAGACTTGATAAGATTTAACTGACATTGATAATGAATGTTATATACAGAAAATAATTATGGATTAAGATAAACAACTACTTAATAGCCTCTTGCGTTATAATTGGGCGTTCGCCGAAGGCGTAACCATCAACAGCTGTAAATAAGAATGATTAATGACAATCGCCCTAATTGGCCAGTCAAGTAAAAGTGAAGGCGTGTACTTGCGAGTACTCAGGGTACAGGTTCGAATCCTCCTCATCGTTCCTATTATAGATAATAGTAAAAAATAATCATACATGGCTGATAAGATATGACATATCAGTACAGGAGCACTTAGTGATAGTCGGGCACACATGGGTAGTGCTTAGTGATAGTCGGGTACACCTGGGTAGTGCTTAGTGATAGTCGGGTACACCTGGGTAGTGCTTAGTGATAGTCGGGTACACCCGGGTAGTGCTTAGTGATAGTCGGGTACACCCGGGTAGTGCTTAGTGATAGTCGGGTACACCCGGGTAGTGCTTAGTGATAGTCGGGTACACCCGGGTAGTGCTTAGTGATAGTCGGGTATGCAACTATCCGTCTGAAGAAGAAGATAGCTGGGAAGCACTTAGTTCAACCCGTTCTCCTGAACATCGCATTTTGACGTATAACTTCCCAAGGCCAAAATGTAGCCAAGATTGACTATGTAATACATCAGTTATACAATGTTTGTGATGTACTATAACCGGAGCTTGTAAAAGCATCTTATTTATTTATTTATTTATATACAAGAAGGTACATTGGGTTTATGAGAGTACATAGCGTGATGTGTTTACATTCTTGTAAAGCCACTAGTACGCACAGCGTTTCGGGCAGGTCCTTTATCTAACATAATTTTTTAACTAGGTAACTTCTAGCAAATTTTATAAAATGCAGAGGATACCCACAAATTAGGAAAAAGATATACAAATATGCCCCAAGACTCGTTCCTGAACTGAGGGGCATGAGCTACAAGGAAAGATTGAGAAACTAGACCTCATCACACTGGAGGAGACGCGGCATAGTTGTCATGACAACGACATATATGGTTATAGCGGAATATATGAAGCTGATGAATAAGTAATGTCCAAAGCTAAGCTACAGCAAACAAGTCAACTCGGACGTCAGAAAGAACTCGACATGTAAATATTAGACCAGCATTGAATATGATTGAATATGAGTTATAACATTGAAGTAATAAATGTTAGAGTGGCGGAGCTTAGGAGCTATGCTCGACCCAGCAAGCCATTCTGAGTACAGGACCTGTGTGTCCCTACAGGTTAGCGGCGGAAGGTGTAAAGTTGACCCACCACCTGGCGGCCGCCCCATTCTGCACCCCGAGTCGCGCCGCCATGCTCACCGGCCGCTACCCTGCACGCTACGGTAAGTTACGGGCTCACTGGGGCTACATGGACACTTCGTTCTGAGTAGCTAAATCTAAAACATCAACAACAGCTACAATAAGGCTTACATACTGTAGTTGTATATTACATGCAAGGGGGGGGGTAGGTGTATGATACATGTTATAGGTGTGTTACTTGTTATAGGTGTATGTTACATGGTGTAGGCGTGTGTACCACGGTGTAGGTGTGTGTAACATAGTGTATGTGTACGTAAGATGATGTATGTGCATGTAACATGGTGTATGTATCACCGTGTAGGTCTATGTAACAAGGAGTTGGTGTATATGTATGTTACATGGTGTGGGGTGTATGGTACATGCACTATGTAGGTATGTTATACATGGTGTATGTTATACATGGTGTGGGGTGTATGCTACATGCACTATGTAGGTATGTTATACATGGTGTATGTTATACATGGTGTGGGGTGTATGCTACATGCACTATGTAGGTATGTTATACATGGTGTATGTTATACATGGTGTAGGTGTATGTCATACATGGTGTAGGTATATGTATTTTAACTGAATTATTTAAGTTATGTCCGGACCCTCTGTATCATGTTCTCAATATTTTTAAATAAAAACATTATTATTATTATTATTTTTATTATTATTTATATGATACATGATGTAAGTGCACGTCATATGATCTATTTGTTACGTTATGTAGGTGTAGGTTGTTTTATACAGTAAAGCCGCATGTCGATAAAGGTATACATTGATATCTGTTCCTGTATATGTTCCATGTAGTAAATTAATATTACATTCAATCACGGAAGCTTAAAAATTTCTGTGTATTTGAATTTTCTATGTTTATTATGCACGCCCATACTCATCCCTTGGGCGGTAGTGGAAAACGTTAGAGAAGCGTTGGATAGGCTTGGGAACTGAACCCCATAGCCCATGTCTGTGTATAATATGTATCTGATTTTTCTCCTTCATGTTCTACTGCCCTATCCTGACCCCCTTCCTTGCTCTTCTACCCCTTCTCCTTTCCCGTCCGCAGGTCTGGTGAGTCGAACGCCCGAGGTGTCCCCAGTGATCGTCCACGTGGCCAGCAAGGTGGCGCTGCCCCTCGACGAGGTGACGCTGGCCTCCGCCCTCGCCTCAGCCAATTACACCACGGCTCTTGTTGGTCAGTTTCATTCTCTTCTATAATATCCACGGCTCTTGTTGGTCAGTTCTACTCCCTTCTACAACAACTACGCCTCTTGTTTGTCAGGTCTACCCTCTTCTACAACAAGCACGGTTCTTGTTGGTCAGTTCTGCTCTCTTGTCCCGCAACATTTAGCCAGTTGCTGCCTTTCCTGAACCATCCTCTCATCTTATTGTTAAACCGTGCTATATATAACGTTATATAACGTCTTACTGTCTTATAATAACACAGGAGTAAATGGAAGTGCGGAAGCCTATGTACCACGCTAGGCTGCCTCTCTTGATAACCAATTTGATTTCACTCAAGTCTGCCAAACCAATGCTTGAGATGTTTCAGTTAATATTGAAATGTTCTAATTAACATGCAAGGTTCCAATTAATGTTAAAATGGTTTAATTTGTATTGAACTTTTTTAATTAATATTGCCCCTATGAGGCTACTTGTGTGCTTGTTTCTCATATCTATAATTCTGTGCTTGTATCTGCGTTCACATGTTTCTACATAAGTCTAAACTTTTTCAGTTTCATTACATTTATTTCAAGTTCAATTTTTTATATTTGCATAGTTTATTTACATACTTTCTATTAATACCCCATTCAACTATGCGTAAGACACGGCTACACTCAGAGCTACACGGGTACACACAGAGCTACATGGCTACACACAGAGCTACACAGCTACACTCAGAGTTACACGGCTACACACAGAGCTACACGGCTACACTCAAAGCTACACGACTATACTTAGAGCTACACTCAGAGCTTCACAGCTACACATACACTATTAGCGCCAGGCTGGAGAACGCAGCGCCAGCTTGAAGCCTCATCTCGAGAAACATAAGGAGACGTGAACAGATTCAAAGGCTTGCGTACTAGAACCAAGAAGAACATGATATGAGAATAGGTTCAGGAGACTTGCATCACTAAAACAATAGCTAGAAAAGATTCAGCTGAAAACATATAATGTACAGTATGTAGGGGCACAGACACAATGGACAACGATAATACTTTTAAACAGAAAGGAAACAGTAGAGAGATATAAATTATAGATCCAGAACACCCATACGGATGAATGGAAACATTTTTGCTTAAGGGTTTTAAGTTTAATGAATTAGATGGTGAAGCGGCAGAAGCTAACTCTGTACATACCTTCCACAGTAGATGTGTCAGTTGGCAAGGGGGTGTTGTGATTCAGATGATCAATATATTGAAAGGCAGAGTAACCTAGGTAATAAGCACATACACAATAAAGCCGACCTTAATGGGCTCCAATACACAACTTTTATACCCTTCAACTACACCATTCCTCCCAACCCCCCAACCCCAAGAACTATATTAACCAGGCAGTGTTTACCAGGCAAGTGGCATCTGGGGATGTACTGTGGCTGGCTGGGGCGCTCTTGCCCAGGACCCCTCAACCACGGCTTCCAGTCCTTCTTCGGCATCCCTGTCACCCTCTTCATGGAATTCCGAGGACAACACCAATTCTGGAGGTTCCCGCTAGACGAAACGAAGTTCCAGGTGAGACATACGTATTGTAAAATGAGAGGTGTCTATCCTTGTTACATAAGTGGATAGGCTACTCCCATTTGTCTACTAGACTAAGTCCCACGTAATCCTAATTGTGGTATGGTGGTGCAGGCCCTGGCTGTGACGTGGGTGGTGACCGCTGTGACTCTCCTGGTGGCGGCTAAGAACCGCACGGTGCGTCTTTCCATCCTCCTCACCTTCGCCTTCATCACCAACTTCCTCCTCTTCCTCGTCTGGTTCGCCTTCGCCCATGTTTCCCAGAACGTGGATTGTATCTGGAGCGTGAGTACTCTCTCAAACTACAGGCAGTAGGCCTATCACGTCCGTATAATTAATCAGTTACCTGTAGAGTTCCACAAACATGGCTATTTACTAATGTTTGATATGTATTTGAAGCATTTTTTTGTAATATTGGTTAAGGTAATTATTAGGTGAGAGCGCTAGGCCATTACGACTATATAGCACTTGGAAGGTACACGAGGATAAGGGTTTTGGATAGGACGGAGGGCAGGAATGATGCCCACCACTTGCAACCCGACCTACAAGAAGCGAGACAGTCGCTCTACCGTCCAGTCCAAGTGGTTGGGCTAGGTATGGTTTATCTTGTCCGTAGCAACTCTTTCGTTGTTATTCTACGCAAGAGGTCAATTAATAAAGACAAATACTAAATTGGATTAGGGAATGATTACTACAGATAATCAATACATTTTTGTCTTTTCCCTGTTTAAATTTAAATTTAGATGGGAAAAAAACAAGCGCAGTAAATGTAGACACTTGTAAATTATTAAGTCTGGGAATTGAATGCGACATTAGATATCAACTCAGTAATGTACGTGTTAGTGAATCCAATTGTGAAAGTAATTTGAAATTTGTGACAATTAAAGCCTTAAAATTAACAGTCTTACAGATTGTATTAATGCACAATATATACTCAGAAAGCTTGATTTGTATCTGTAAGTTATATAAATATAATTGGTGTTATTTTGCCTACCTATCTTGTGTTGGTGGACCTTGAATATAATGAGGCAGTAGGCTGTCTATGGAGTTGCACTATTGAGATTTCTCTTGGTTATTGTTGTACATTTTTTATCACCATATTGCTGAATTTATATAAATTCTAAAAAAATAAGGATTAAAATACCCTAGTCTAGGAATCTCTCCTAGCAGGACAGATTAAGATCCATGAAGTATACATATGTATGAAGAGTATGAATAAGTATGAACTTAAATGTATATGCTCTACCTAAGGTCAAAAATTGTCGTACTAGAAAATGGTAGTGGCTCGCGAAATTGACATACTGTCCCGTTTTCTGTTTTGGCTCCTCTGGTAGGTTAGGAAAGATCACTTTAGTACAACAGTTTCTTGATGTTAGAAGGATAGGCTGCTTAAGTTAGGGTTAAAGCTATCAAATCACTATAAAACTCATAAGAACCGATTTAAAGTAGACAATTGTAAATCTAAAAATGAAATAGATAAAAACTAGCATTACATTGCCAAGTTTTAATAAAGAATAGAGAGATAGACGACTAACAAGGTCGCGGGACGACACATCTGCCGCAGGTGTCACCCTGGATGCACCAGTTCTTAAATTCCATGATCATGAGGAACGACGTGATGGTAGAGAGCCCCATACAGCTGGACGGTCTGTCGCAGCGCCTGGCGCAGGAGTCAAGGGAGTTCCTGGAGGCCCACGCCAGCGACCAGAACCCCTTCTTCCTCTTCCATTCCTTCCCACACGTCCACACGCCCATGTTCACGGCGCCCCACAGGGCAGGCGTCAGTAAACACGGCAGGTAGGAACTGTCTCCCACTGGGAAGAGTTTCAGTCACAAACAGATGGTTGGAGTGTGAGGTGTGTGGTTAACTGGTTGAGATGTGAGGGTATCAGGAGTGTGTTGACGGGTGAGGTGCGAGAGTAACGTATTTTGATGTATGAGGTGTAAGTGTAACGTGAATGTCTTGACAGGTGCGATGTAAGAGGAACGTGTATTCACCTAGTTTGATTCACCTAGTTGTGCTTGCGGGGGTTGAGCTCTGCTCTTTGAGCCCTGTGTATGTTGTGTGTGCTCTGTGTGTGTTGACAGATGAGATACGAGAATAACGCAAGTGTGCTTACAGATAAGTATTGAATAACATTAGTGTGTGCAAGCGAATGTACGATAAGTGTACTGGCAGGCGATGACACCATAAGTGTGTTGTTGGCAGATGAACGTCTGCCATAGGTGTGCGCATGGGCAGGTGAGTGTATCTTAAGTGTGTGGGCTTATAATACCATAAGTGTCTTGCACAGATACGGGGACAACGTAGAGGAGATGGACGAGAGTCTGGGCGTGGTTTTGGACGCCCTCAAACAGTATGGCCTTGAGGACAACACCATTGTGTACTTCACTTCAGACCAGGGCGCCCACCTCGAAGCCATAGACTCTGATGGCCAGCGCATCGGAGGCCACAATGGCCGCTTCAAGGGTCAGTACGCCCTCACAAACCTCTCCTTTTATATGTGTACAACCGTGCCTATCTTACATGTTACATTTGTAAGATACAATTATTTATCAAAAGATTGAACTGCAGCTCTTGGGTATTGCACACAGGTTCTCAAAGTGGTACTTTAGCTCCTGGGTCCGCCCTCGTCAACGAGTCTAGAATGTACTCGGGTCTCGTCCAAGGGCTCTTGAAGTGCCGTTTTATCTCCTGGAACCCGCTTTAGCGCGCGGATATCAGAAGGACTCTCCCGTCAGCTCTCAGGGTACTTTCTTCAACTTGTTGGTCCTATTAATCAGCTGAAACTCTTCGTCCTTTGATGGGAAAACACATATCTTTGGCCGTCTATTCCTTATCTTCCCAGGCTTAACCTGATATGAGGTCCACTGCCATCCTGTGGGTAGTAGTGGACCCCCATACCCATCCTGTGGGTGATAGTGGATCCCCATACCCATCCTGTGGGTGGTAGTGGACCCCCCATGCCCATCCTGTGGGTGGTAGTGGACCCCATACCCATCCTGTGGGTGATAGTGGACCCCATATCAATCCTGTGGGTCGTAGTGAACCCCATACCCATCCTGTGGGTGATAGCGCACCTCATACCAATCCTGTAGGTGGTAGTGGCCCCCATACCCATCCTGTGGGTGGTAGTGGACCCTATACCCATCATGTGGGTGGTAGTGGACCCCCATACACATCCTGTGGGTGGTAGTGGGCCCCCATACCCATCCTCTGGGTGATAGTGGACCCTATACCCATCATGTGGGTGATAGTGGACCCTATACCCATCCTGTGGGTGATAGTGGACCCCATAACCCATCCTGTGGGTGGTAGTGGACCCCATAACCCATCCTGCGGGAGGTAGTGGACCCCATAACCCATCCTGTGGGTGGTAATGGACCCTATACCCATCATGTGGGTGGTAGTGGACCCCATAACCCATCCTGTGGGTGGTAGTGGACCCCATAACCCATCCTGCGGGTGGTAGTGGACCCCATAACCCATCCTGTGGGTGGTAGTGGACCCCATAACCCATCCTGTGGGTGGTAGTGGACCCCATAACCCATCCTGTGGGTGGCAGTGGACCCCCATACCTATCTTGCGGGCGGTAGTGGTAAAGGTTACAAAGGAACATTTTGAGCTCTGGAACTGAACCGCAACATTCACATAGCTAAGTTACAGCCCTGACAAGCTAGTTACACAGTTTACACACGTCAGCAGTCTTTGGTGGCACAATGGCTTCAAGAACTAGACCACAACAAGCTGTAAACAAAGTAAATAACCAGCAATATCAGAGGTAAACTGGTGGGGTAAACTTAGTACAAGAGAGTGTAAATATTTAACATGTCCTCCTAAGGTAAACCCAAGCATGGGGTACTATGTATTATTCTAACAATGGTTAATAACAAAGAAAACGGTAATGATTGTGTTGTTATCTTACGGATTTAGGCGGCAAGTGTCAGGGCGGGTCGGAGGGCGGGATCCGGGTCCCTGGGATCTTCCGGTGGCCGGGTCATCTGCCCAGGGGAGTGACCTTAGACACCCCTACTTCCCTCATGGACCTTCTCCCCACTGTCCTCTCCCTCGCTGGCCTACCCTCACTCCCACAACTGGTGCCTTCCGCTGTTGACAAGGTGAGTCCTGTACCAACTCTTCCCCCAACCACTTTCTCCCCGCCCCTCTCTTCCCCAATCACTATCTCCCCGCCCCTCTCTCCCTCAACCACTCTCTCCCCCGTCCCTATCTACTGATGTATATAATTTACCAGTATATGTGTGGCTGTGTGAAAGTACATATTTTAGTATCACTACCCATTCTATCTTCTTGTGCTCACCTAGTTGTGTTTGCGAAGTTTGAGCTTCGTCTCTTTGGCCCCGCCTCTTAACTGTCAGCCGTTGTATATTATATGCCAAGTGACTGGGCAGTGGTCTTAAAGACCACCGAAAACTGATGGTCCACAAGATCACTATCCAGTCACCTATTCCAGTGACCTATTCTAGTGTGTGTGTATGAAACAGGAACTGGACGGGGAGGACATCTCTGAACTGCTGACATCTGGGATGCCCCGGGAAGCTCCAAGAATCTTTCTCCACCACTGTGGACAAGATATACACGCCGTCAGACTTGTTACAGGTGACACACATTATATACAACTCTTCACTGTATGAGGTGTAAGTAGCCACTAATAATTGATTAGTGGCCTGAGCCACTAATCAATTTCCTGAGCTACTAATCATTGATGGGAGCGGGTAATTAGATCCCTTAACACGGTGTTTGGTGTCCATCTGATCCTTATTGTGAGAACTGCACAGCCCCGCTTACAGCTGTGCAGCTCCTTGTAGAATGTCCTGATTTTCAGGATGATTGTAAATCCTGCTTTCCCAATATTCCCACGAATCACTTGTCCCTCAATAAAAAGGAAAACCCAATGCCTTTGACGTCACTTGTCTTGTGTCTTTTACTCTCGTATTGGCATCCTGAGTGACAATTAAGACTGAATATCCAGCGACACACTCACGGTGTTAATAGTCTTCCAGGCTTAGTGTCTACCTTTCATGATTACTCATCCAGTCTTGATCTCCCCGCAGAGGATCACGTGTACAAGATGTACAATGTGAAGCACAATTGGTACCCGGGAAGCACACAGTGTGGCTGGGGATACGACGTGGCGTGTTACTGCTCTGGCGACGGCAATGTCACCGACCTCACACACCAGCCAGAGCTCTGGGACCTCGTCACCGACCCCTACGAGGACGGCCAGCCCATCAGCGCCCACACCCAGGAGTGAGTCCCCACGATTTGTTTCTCATTCAACCCCCCCCAAAGTTCATGTTTTGTCATTGATCGTCGTGGGGAAAGTTATTATTTCTCATAGCTCTCCGTGTAAAGTTGATGTTACCCATTCTCGCCATGTCAGTGTTCACGTATCTCATACAATGTTCAAGTAACTCATACCGAAACATTTATATCATGACTTTGTTTCTTCAGGTATCGTGACGTTGTGCGGACGCTGCAGGAGTACCTGGAGCAGTGGGAGGAGAGGGTCCAGTACGCTCCCTCTCAGCTGGGCAGCAAACCATATGTTATTTGGAGGCCCTGGCTCCAGCCTCATTGATGCTGAGCTTGTCAAGACTCTACATACTATATCATACTGTACACCCGTCTACACCCACTGTCCTGCCCTGTACACCCGTCCACACCCACCGTCCTACCCTGTACACCCGTCCACACCCACTGTCTTGTACACCCGTCTACACCCACCGTCCTGCCCTGTACACCCGTCCACACCCACCGTCCTGTCTTGTACACCCGTCTACACCCACTGTCCTGTCCTGTACACCCGTCCACACCCACCGTCCTGTACATACCTCACGCACGATCCTGCCCTCTCCCATCGCTGGCAGAGACGCAGGGCGGAGAAGAAAGGTGATCCTATAGACCATTTGGAGACAAGACTTAGATTCACAGAAGAATGAGCATGTTAGAGCATGTTAGAGTCTTTGAGAGAATGTACCAATTAATCAACAACACCTGTAATGATAACCTTTTGTACTTTCTTATATTTAAATAAATATATGAGTTTTCACAAATAAAAGAGAATGAGACGTTGGTGTAAAATCTCTGGCAAGGATCCAGCCCGTCCTCTCGACATGAAATTGAAATAGAAATAAGTTTATTGAGGTAAAATACACATACAGGGATGAGGTAGCTCAAGCTATTCTCACCCCGTTCAGTACATCGTGTTAATACATACATAGACACACATCACAAACAATAAACATATTACCAAACATTCTGAGAGATAAACATCTACATTTCCTATCTCGACTTGTCTCAACGGAGTGAAAAATGGTGTACTAAAACGCTCTATTTAATTTAATCTAACCTAACCTAACCGATGAACCACGTACAAAAAACGTGAACTTTAATGAGTTGTGTGAAGATAATAAATTTATTACGCGCTGTGATTTTAGTTTTTTTTTATTTTAAATGTTGCAGCGCTAGAGAGGACAGTACGCATGTACTGTCGACAAGCCGCTGGCTTCCTGTCCTCGTCGAGGCCACTAGAGTTAGTGGCCCTCAGATAAATCAGATATTTCTGCTGGCTGTCACGTCTGAATTTGGCTGTTTGTCCGTATGGCCGAAAATGGACGTAATTTGAAAATTATAAATAATTAAAAAAAAAATGTATTTTGTTCTTCCAAAACAGTAAGGGTCCCCTGGTAGGTTAGGAGGGCAGGAAGTTCTCCTAAGGTTTCAAAACGTCATGAAAATCGTGAATATATATATATATATATATAACTGAAAACTCACACCTCAGAAGTGACTCGAACCCATACTGCCAGAAGCAATGCATTGATGCATTGCTTCTGCACAACTCGACAACTTGTGACAAGTAGGCTTGTACCTTGCATGTAACCAATGAGTACAAATATATATATATATATCTATATGAAATTATACAATTCTACGAAACATGCGCAAATCGTAAATAAACCATGTATATGTGATGTGGGAATGTGGAGAGAGAGAGAGAGGACGGTGGTGGTGACATGATACTCAAGTGAGGCTACACCAGTCACTAACCTGACACCTTGAGCCAAGCCACATGATGCAGTGTTCCCCTTCCCCACCTGTTCTTACGTTATCATTCTTCCCCACACCTGTCCTCACGTTATCATTCTCCCACACCTGTCCTCCCGTTATCATTACTATATTAGACCTCATATAGGAAGTATTAGGCCTTGGATGGTTAAGTTTCGTTAACATAATATAAAACCTTCTCTTTTGTCCAAATTCAATAATACAAAGTCTACTTTATATTGGTCTATTACGTCCATATTTGGGCAATCGACCTCATTGTTATTATAAGTACTTTCATTTTACGAGGATGGGCTGACATCAATATATAATTATATCTGCTACAGGATAAATAGCCTCGCGTATCACTGTAAAAAGTAACTTATAATATCATTGTAGATTTTTTTTATTTAACTGCAGTGATAGTCTCTTCTATACATTACAGTATTCATCTCACCATAACACCGTGCAACAAATATATAATAATAATAATAATAATAATAATAATAATAATAATAATTTTTATTTAGGTAAAGGTACATACATAAAGAGATTTTACAAAGTTTGTTGGCTTTATAGATAGAGCTAGTACATACAATGCCTAAAGCCACTATTACGCAAAGCGTTTCGGGCAGGAAAAAACACTAATGACTAAAGCTTAAAACTAAAACTAATATGTGACAGCACAAACATAATACCGTCTTGACCTGCTGGAATCTCAGTATTGACTTGGTACACGAGAAGGACGCCCATTTATTGATCGATCGTGCGCTCTCGACTTCACTTTCTTATGTGGACTAAACACCATAACACAATGTAAAAGTGTATATTTTAAGATATATCCAGTCACGTTTATGTAATTGTCAAAGCGCCTACCTCATAATTTTCTTTTATAGTATCAGGTTGAATACTTTTAGAGGTTGCGAATGTTTGTGCATTGATTTTTAAGTTTAAAATTCTTGCGAATCATAGCTCCCAGATGCCTTTCGCAATCTCAACACCATCTAGCTCGAATCTTGTAACTATCATCATTACCTAACGTCAAAACCTTACGTGTGTCAGCATTAAAGTGCATCTGCCAGTCGCTTGACCATTACACAACCCTATTTAGATCGTCTTGAAGTGATAACGAGTCTGAACGTCCGTCAGTAAAACATTTTGAGCAGCTTATTAATCCGTTTTTTTCAAGAGGAAGAAGAATGGTCTTTACTCTTAATAACATTGATGCAAAAAATTATTAATCTCACATTGACTTGTTAGTTGAATTCGTTATGCCATATATTTAACTGATTATTTTCTGTATTTTTGGCAGACGAGGTTGTGGTGCAGAACGTACTAGTGGTTAGCTATTGGTGTCGTCCACGGAGCGGTACACTACGCTTCCCGGTCGGCCGAGCGGACAGCACGCTGGACTTGTGATCCTGTGGTCCTGGGTTCGATCCCAGGCGCCGGCGAGAAACCCTGGACAGAGTTTCTTTCACCCTATGCCCCTGTTACCTAGCAGTAAAATAGGTACCTGGGTGTTAGTCAGCTGTCACGGGCTGCTTCCTGGGGGTGGAGGCCTGGTCGAGAACCGGGCCGCGGGGACACTAAAAAGCCCTGAAATCATCTCAAGATAACCTTCCCGCTTGTTCTTCGACCTGCACACTTGCATCTGAGGCTTCTAATTTGATACCCCCGTCTGTAATACTCAGGCTTCCTCTCCTCATGACCCTTCAGCTCTCAACACTAGCTTAGTGTAACACGCTTTTACTCACACAACTCCTTAATCAGACACAAACAACCTGTCCTCAGGCATTATTCATTCCATTCCAGGTGCTACATAGCCTTCCCGGTTTGGTGCCTTCTATTGATAATTGCTTACTCATTCCATTCAGCGGTCGACCCCAAAGACTCATTCATCAATTTTAATATGCTGTCCATTCAAAATAATAATGTTCTCAAATATAAATTAACATTATTATATATATTAGCATTTTGTACATATTTAGGCATAGGTGTTTATGTTTTGTTGGTAATTATTTGTATTTGCAGTACGTTGGTGAAGCATTTACAGCGTTGTGATTCGAACAAAAGTCATCACCGAAGCATTTGTTCAAGAAGTGTTCGAACGTCATCAGTTGTGAGTCGTGTGTAAACCGTTCTTCCTTTATGAACAGGGGGACTTGGTGGGTGCTTGCAATGGATTTTGGCCTTTGTTTATGAGGACGGGTTGGTATTTGTAGTACGTGGGGTGAAGCATTTACAAAAGTGCGATTCGAACAGAGGTTGTCAGTGAAACACTGTTCGAGAAATGTTCGAACGGTATCAGTTGTGAGTTGTGTGTAAAGCTTTTTTTATTCATAAACGGGGGGTCTTTCGGCTGCATATTATCACGTTTGGACTTTGTTGATTAGGACAGGTTGTAACAAAGGCCATATTCCATGCAGCCGCTGAACCCCAGTTTATGAGTGAAAAAATCTTTACACACGACTCACATTGATGAGGGCTCACAACTGATGACTTTGCAGACGACCTGGTTCTGTTCGAATGCAGCTCGTTCTCATTAAGAAAGGCCAATATGATCTTACAGTTTCTGCAGCTCCAGAATAAGGGATATTCCCAAGAAAATTTTAATAATTTAGGCACGTATTTTGTATCTGTAGTTAAAATATTATTTACCAAGAAAGGTATATATCGCAAATTTCCGTAATAATTAAAAAATCATTTAATCAACAAATAACAAGAAGTTAATAACAAAACTACACAATAGATACGGTATTTTTTTTTCTTTTTAGCAGGGATAATCCTGCGCGGGCCCTAAGCCTCTGGCTGGCCCACTAAGTGATGCTTGTTTCTGTTTTACTTGGGCGGAGGATGAGTATTCATGACTCGTATGGTCGCTTCAGTAAGATTTTGCCAAATGTGTTTAACAACTTCCTCTGCTCTGTTGAATCTAAGGTGAAATCTTAACGGGTTTGTAACTGTGCACTGTGTTAGATAATGTTCCAGTGGTCTGTCGGGCATTTCTCCACAGTGTTGACATTTCCTCTCACCTTCCGGAACCCGTAAGCCTATTTCCCATGCACATGGGTATCCAAGCCTGATGCGATGTAAGTGCACTTCTGTTGTTCTACCGCCCCCTTTCATCAAACTAAGTGGTTCGTAGTTGGTGGAATTCTTGTACCAACCCGCAGATCCTGATGTTGCAACTGCTGTGTTGTGGTCACTGTACAGCCTTCGCATTGCTCTGTTTCGAATTACTTTCTTCATCTGGGATAGACTCTGTGGTATGTAAATGTCTACATTTCCCCTCATAGTAGCAAGTTTTGCAGCTTCGATAGATACGGTAGATATTGTCATTATCTCAAGTGAAAATATTTCTTGGCAACCCCCCTGCAATTTACAAGTGTTGCCAGATTGGGCTACAAATAACGAACTGGGCTACTTTTGAGAGCCCAATTTTTTTTTATTTCGCTACTTGCTACTTTTTGGGCTAATTTAAAAGCAAGATGTGCTAATGTGGGCTATTAATGTTAAGACACTCCGTTATGATTATTTAGGATCAGATGCACCACAAACAAGCACCCCACGATAGCAGCCACAGACTGACGATTTAAATGCGAGCACAGCATGCAGTATATCCTTCCACGACCACAAAGATCACATTCACTCCAAAAAAATCTTCCACTTACGGGCTATTCATGCCCGTGCCACCTCTTGGGTGGCTTAATCTTCATCAATCAATCACAAATAAGCAGTTACAGCCCCGCTCCTGTGCCATGAACGGTTGAGGGCCACAGGGACCAGACATGACAGTCTGCTCTCAGCAAAACTATTAAAATACTGAACAATTAGGAGGATATTGATCCACACCACTTTTTCTAATGGTCAGGTGTAACAAACAAAGCAACGGTTTCAAGCTCAACAAGCCACAATGTGGGACTGAAATCAGGAGAGGCTTTCTCGCTCATGGGATTACTTCACTAATGGTTCCTCTCCTACCACCACTATTATTTTGGTATATATTTTTTGTTTTCACTTCTGAACACTGTAGGTAAACTTGTAAGATTTAGTTTTACTTAACATTATCTTAATTATTAGGTTTTGTTTCAAATTACATTATTTTGTGGAGCAAAAGTAAACAAAAACAAAAATTGAAAACATTAATCCACGCAAATAATCATAAGTTTCGTGATTTAATAATATTAAATCATTCGTAAAATGCAAACTAATTAATTTACTATAATTATTATAATACGTATTAACTTTACCATAGTTACAGGAGATACTAGCCAAGATATATTTTTACCATTTCGGACACAAAACTAGTACGTTTGGTATACATATATATCATTGTTCAATATTAAAACCACAATATAATGCTATTAACAAATTAAAATCTTAT